AGACTTGGTGCGGCAGGAAAAGCACTTCCAACAAACTACAGACATTCATCAACAGCTGCCACCTACGCCCACGCTTACTCCATACAGAAGATCAGATGGACAGCCAGAATAATAAGAATTAGCAACAAGGATGGCAATGAACCAACAAAGCAACAACCCATCACCCAACAAATATGCAGAAGAAAGTGGAGATGGACTGGATTGGGCGTACATGAGAGGACCATTTGGAGACATCATGCGTCAGGCCAGGCCCTCCAGTGGAATTCGAATGGGAAACAATGAGTTGGACGTCTGAGGCGAGGGTGACATGGAGGAGATCATGTGAGGAAGAGATGAATGGTTGTTGGCAGTCGTGGAGCCAGGTTTTGAAGACTGCAGAGAACAGAGTGAAATGGAGAGGTGCTACTGAAGCCCTATTTTCCACTTGGAACCCATGGGACAAATAATAATAATTCCACAAGAATAACTTTCCGACAATATTAAGTGTACTATGCAACTGAGTATATATATAATACAGCATTAGTTGTGTATTCGTAAAAATAATTGACTATAATCATAAAACACTTTTCCGCATTTCATGTACATTTTAGTCTCAGACCTGGAGGAAACAAGTCTTCGATGCTCCGAGGTTTTCACTTGATGTCATTTCGCGCTGAATACTGCACTGGTGTGAATCTGACTACCCATTCTCTGAAATAAAGTTTCCTTGTCAAAAAAATAATGTTCTATGGGTGAGAAGTAAGAAACTGTGAACTATGTTATAGAATTATTTTTCACATTCGTATTTGTAAACTATTCGTGTGAATAAGCCTGAAATGTAGACAGCTGTCAGACAAAGCAAGCGTGGATTTGCGCTTAAAGTGGTATTATATTTCAAAACGTTTTCATCAGATATATGCAGTTTAATGAAACAAAATATTCGAAAATGTAAGGTTAAAGCAAAGGTTCTCGAAGAATGGATTCAAAATGCAAAACTATCAGCATATCTTAAATACTGTGTACTTATTATTAATTAAATCTCGCCTGGTTAACTAGTTTACTAGTTACTAGCCGGTCCTAAGCCCGGGTAAGGAGGGAAGGTTGGGCATAGGGCTAGCAACCCTACACCGTAAAGCAAATCTAACCGCTAAAGAAACTTCAAAGCACAAACAAAATATAAAAAATGAAAACAAACTTATTCCCCGCTGGAATCGGAGAGGCGAAATGACACCAGTTGTTGAAAGCCTTCGGGAAGCCAATTGGCCGATGTGTCTTCTCTCGATGAAAGCGAAAGTAAACGTGGGGACATGGAATGTCCGCACGATGTTTGAACCCAGTAAGGCAGCCCAGATTGCAAATGAGATGAGAAGGTATCACATTGAAGTGCTTGGAATTTGCGAAAGCAGATGGAATGGGAGTGGACTCTCCAAACTGTCAGCTGGAGAATCAATAATCTACTCCGACACTGTCACCCAGACGACAACCACGAGCACAACGAGTTATGGAGTGGCTATCATGATGTCCCCTGAAGAGCATCGAAGGCTCTCATGCAGTGGGAACCAATCTTCTCCAGGATCACGACAGCAAGATTCAACTCAAAAGGAAGGAAGGTCACAATCATACAATGCTACGCTACGCACATACAAATAATGAAGATCAAGAAAAAAAGGAGGAATTCTACAGACAACTTCAGTCAACACTGGACAAGACGCCAGTTGGCGATATCAAAATTCTAATGGGTGACATGAATGCCAAACTGGGAGGGGACAACACGGGAAGAGAACTAACCATGGGTCGAGAGGCGCTAGGTGAAATGAATGAGAATGGAGAATTGTTTGCAGAATTCTGTGCATTCAACGATTTGGTGATTGGAGGCAGTGTGTTCAGGCACAAGGATATCCACAAAGCGACATGGATTTCACCAGATGGACACACTAAAAATCAAATCGACTTTATCTCAATCTCAAGAAAATGGAGACGCAGCAGCCTACTTGACACAAGGTCAAGAAGAGGAGCAGATGTAGGTTCAGACCACTATCTAGTGCAAGGAACCTTCCAAATCAAGTTAAAAGCTTTCAAGGAAGCTGGTGATAGACCACAGTTCAAGTAAAACACTCGTAAAATGAAGGATGAAACTACAAAGGAAATCTTCACGGCAGCCATCAAGACAAAATGAGAGATATCGAGGAACATCCCTGAAGAAACCTGTGTGGAAGAACACTGGAAGTCTTTGAAACAGATGTGGAAAGAAACCTGCACAGCCGTATTAGGAAGGAATAAGAAAGAAGACAAGGAATGGATCTCGACGGATACCTGGAAGCTGACAGAGGAGAGGAGGATAGTGAAGCAGAAGATAAACCAGTGCAAGGATGCTCAACGACAAGAGGAACTGAGCACAATGTATAAAACACTACACTGGACAAAGAAGTGAAGAAGAGTGCACGGAAAGACAAAAGACACTTCTACGAAACACTGGCAAGTGAAGCAGAACAGGCTGCAGGTAAGAGAGACCAGACGACATTGTATCAAATAACTAGGTTGCTATCAGGGAAGAGATCGACACAGATGAAACCAATAAAATATGATGACGGAAATTTAATTACGAGAGAAGAGAAACAGAGGAAACGATGGGCCGACCACTTCAAGAAGCTCTTGAATCGACCACCACCTGCACTTCGTCCAGAAATACCACCTGCAACCGCTGAACTACAAGTCAACATAAATCCTCCAACAAAAGTGGAAGTCCTGAACGCCATAAAGCTACTGAAATGTGGGAAAGCAGCAGGACCAGATGGAATCCCACCAGAAACACTGAGAACAGATGCAGAGACAACAGCAGACATACTCACACCACTATTGCTGAAGGTGTGGAGGGAAGAGAAGGTACCTGGTGATTGGAAGAAGGGTTACCTTGTCAAACTGCCGAAGAAGGGAGACCTCAGTGTTTGCAAGAACTGGCGCGAAATCACCCTCCTATCCACCCCAAGTAAAATATTAAGCCGCATCATCCTGGAGAGGCTAAAGAATGCACTGGATTCAAAACTGCGACCGGAACAGGCAGGCTTCAGGAAGTACAAATCATGCACGGACCAAATTGCAACGCTTCGTATCATCATAGAACAGAGCATAGAATGGCAATCAGCTCTCTACCTCAACTTCATCGACTTTGAGAAGGCCTTTGACAGCGTCGACCGAGAAGTAATTTGGAAACTGCTTCAATACTACGGAGTACCGCAAGCCTTTATCCGCCTCATTCAACAACTATATGAAGACACCACATGCCAAGTAATTCACAATGGGAAGCTCAGTGATGCTTTTGCAGTGAAGTGGAGACAGGAGTGAAACAAGGTTGCCTACTATCCCCCATGATATTCCTTATTGTGGTGGACTGGATCATGCAGCAAACAGTAGGCAGCGAGAAGAGGGGGATACACTGGACGGCGGAAAAGAACCTAGAAGACTTGGATTTCGCCGATGACTTATGCCTAATGTCACATAAACTTGAAGATCTACAGGCAAAAACTAACAAGTTGGCAGAAGAGGCAAGGCAGCGAAGACGGGACTTCAAGTGAATATAGAGAAGACAGAGATGATGAAGATACCGAACCAACAACTCCATCAACAACAACAAACTCCAGTCACCGTCAACGGGAGAAACTTAAAGGAAGTAACCTCCCTCACCTATCTAGGAAGCACTGTTTCAACTACAGGCGGGACAGATGAGGATGTCAAAGTCAGAATCGGAAAAGCAAGACAGGCGTTCATTAGCTTGAAACCAGTGTGGAGATCTTCTGCACTCAGCATGTGGAACAACATCCAAATTTCCAACAGTAATCCAGTCAAGTCAGTGCTTCTGTATGGTTGAGAGACTTGACGTGTTACGAAAGGGATTTTCAATAAACTATAGATATTCATCAACAACTGCTTACGCTTGCTACTGAAGATCAGATGGCCAGAAAGAATAAGCAACAAGGAACTCTGGAAACGAACCAACCAAGAACCTATCACGCAACAAATATGCAGGAGGAAGTGGAGATGGATTGGGCATACACTGAGAAGGCCGACTGAGGACATCACGCTTCAGGCCCTCGAGTGGATTCCCCATGGGAAGCGACGAGTTGGACGTCCGAGGGTGACATGGAGGAGATCGTGCGAGGAGGAAATGAGAGCTTGTGGGCCTTATATATATATATATATATATATATATATATATATATATATATATATATATATATATATATATATGCATATTCATATGTATTGTGGCGAATTACAAAATAAGGAAAAACAAGTCTCAAACTTCTGTTCAACAGTGGTTAGACGACATTGGCAGATGGCTTATTGCACTTATGGTTATACTTATGCATACATAAGAGTTAAAGCTGTGGATTAATTGATAGAGCATAGTTGATTTTTATATCAGCCATGTTTTTACAAGTCAGCAGTCACTACTGTATTGATTTATGTAGAAAAGTTATGTTAGAATATGTATAAAGGAGAAGAAAAAGGTTTTTATCCTGAAACATTTTGTTACTGGGTTACACTGAAAATATACTGAATGAAACAAATAAAACAGGAACAAGTTATTCGTCTATATTACTGCAATTTACTGTTTCATGTGAGCAAAATTTCTCTAGATGCAATGCAATATAGATGTTTGCATCACATCTGTCGAGTAGTTTCCTCATAAAAGGTTTTGTGCTTCAATCTGTTATAGTTAACTTTTATCAGAAAAGCTGGATGTTGTAAAGTAATGGTTTTTTTTTAGGGATTTGAAACTTGTTTTTATCAAAAATGCTCAGTACTGAGGAATCATAGACTAAGACGAAACACTTTCCAGATACTTCTTATTTCTAAAAAGTGACCTGAGTTCGGTTTTTGATAAAACTGGTATAAAATGAATATGGCATAAGTGATTTACTTTTAGACTAAACTTATCTAACGGTAAAATTAATGTGTCAGTGGAATGAGATTTATTTAACATAACAATTTACAGACCTTAAGAATGATGATATACATACCAATCTAAACATTTTAAATATTCATCAACCGAAGAAGTATCAAATGGTATGGAGGATGAATGGCTTGTTGCTTTGAAGTGGCTCTGTTGAGAAGATAATGTTGTCAGTAGTCGTCGGTGAAGTCTTTGTCTACTTTTGGTTCTGATTCTTATTGACTGAATACTATTGAAGCTTGATTTTGTGTGATCCCTGTTATACATTTTATCATCAATATCTGAACCAGTTTCATCAGATTCTAAACGACTTTTAGGTGAATCCGAGGAGTCTGAACATTGTTTAATCAAATGACGAGTAGAATTTGTTACTGTAGTGGCTCGTAATGAAGCACGAATTAAACTATTACGCTTTGCTAATGTACGTAAACCCAGCATAAAATCATTTGCACTAACTTTTCCATCACCGTCATGATCAAGTTGTAAAATTAAATCATTTATTTGAGATTCTGTCAGACCAGAATCACAAACTTTTAATAACATTTGATTATCAAGATAGCCTTTGTGATCTTCATCGAGTATCGAAAATAAAGCATGTGCTTTGGAGGAAATATCATCAAAAACTGAATCTGCTGATGAAGCACTTGAAAATCCTCTTCCCATAGGAGAGTTTGATATTGTCTGAGGTGTATCATTAAACGAGATATCTGGTTTGCTTTTAGGTTTATAATCGCTCATTAACTACGTAGTATTGATAAGATTTATGTAGAATAATCCCGTTTTCCCAATATATGAATTCACTGTGCATTATGCGATACTGAATAAGTGTGAATAACCAATATATCTGTAACTTTTAAAGTTTTCGTACACATTCTTTTAGAAGTAATCCATTTAATGTGTGTATAAACAGTGTTAATCACGGTTTTATAAAATATACTTTAACATACGTCTAAATTAAAAACAACAGATAATGGCTAATCGATCTGTTTTTTAATACTTCTAATAGATCGACTTGTTTAGTATTAGTTCCTGTCCGATTCCAAGTTGTTTTACATTCTGTCAATAAAGTAAATACAATGTGAGAAAACACGTGAACGTCCTATAAATCAGGTCGTTTTAATACGATGAATGACTGAATGCCAAAAACACACTAACAAACATATGTGCGTTTGCCGCATTTCAAGGCATTACATAAATACAAGATTTTTGCACTGAGTTTCATTAGCTTAACCGATAGCGGTAAAGTGAGTGAATGTTTGGACTCCTAAACGCTGCCTAGAACTCTTATAGTTCTGATTTCTCATCACTTTCATCAATTACTTTAAACACATTACTTCTTTCATACCAATAACTTATTGTTACTTCGGTCTTGATAAGTCTTCTCATTGCCATTTAAGAAGATAGGTAATTATTTTTCTCATCTTATAACTCATAACCAAAAGTAATTATTTTTCTCATCCATATAATTATTGCTATTTTTCTATGCAAACTGGAACAACTGTTTATTCGATCAGCAATCGCTGATCACTTCTGTAGACTGCTGCATTGCAATGTTCGCACATGGATATGGCTATAACAAAAAAAACTGTATGCGGCGATGATTATTATATTATTATTGTTTATCCCTTGGGTTCCTAATGGAACATAGGGCTTCAGTAGCACATCTCCATTCCACTCTGTTCTCTGAAATTTTTTGAACCTGGTTCCACGACAGCCCACAAGCTCTCATTTCTTCCTCTTACGATCTCCTCCATGTCACTCTCACCTCGGACACCCAACTTGTAGCTTCCCATCTAGGTTTCACTCAAGGGCTTGGCACTTGATGTCCCCAGTCGGCCTTCTCAGTGTATGCCCAATCCATCTCCCTTTCCTTCTCCTGCATATTTGTTCAGCGATACGTTCTTGGTTGCTTTGTCACCAGCCAGAGTTCCTTCTTGCTTATTCTGACTATTCTGTCCATCTGATCTTCAGTAACGAGCGTAGGCAGTTGTTGATGAATATCTGTAGTTTACTGGAAATGCCTTTCGTAATGTGCCAAGTCTCTGAGAGATGCAACTCACTTATAAGCTGGTCGACTACGAGGCTTAGAATTTAAGCTTTCATCTTAGTGAAACCTTTTGGTCAAAATTTATTTAAACTTCACTACAATTCATCTTTTTAATTAAGATTTTGTTGAATTATTTGTTTTCTCGATATTCATACGAGTAATTTAACGCATCATGATTTCATTTACGTTTCCCTTATACGAGACTTCAAAAATTTGTTATGAATTCAGTAAGCAGCAATCCTATTGAATGTGAAAGAGGATAGACTGCAAATATATCACAGAAAATAATAATCACTCATGCAGCGGGGCGGATATGAGATGGGTAATTGGTTTCGCCCTCATAAGTCTTGTTTAAAACTCATGAAACTGACTGACCCGTACTTCGCTTATTCATAAATTGTAGGTGAACTTATCAGTACCACAATTAGAATATTACTGAATGTGATATCACAAACAAAACTACGTATTTTGCAATCAGTTTCGTTTATCTGCAAGCAACGAGCTGTGAACAATCCATCTGCAATAAGCATCTACATACAACTATAGTATTCAGACTGTTCAACTCCTATTTGCTGTTCACTCTATTAAAAACGTGTCCTCTGAAGATGAGCTAGAGGTGATACATAAAAACTTGGGCTGAGTTTGTGATTCATTTAAAGTTTCTAACCAATTCTTACGTTTGATACATAACTAAAACTATCAGGTAAAAATACGAGACTGAGACTTGAAATAAAAACCTTTTGATGGAAGGTGAAGTTTATGAAAGGAAATGTGAACTAAAATATTCAGAGGTTAAAAGCTAGTGTTAATATAATCTTTATTAAATAGTTCTAACACAATTAACTAGACAATTATGAATAATTACAGTGATCAAGAAAATACTTTGTTTCTTTAAAAGTACGTCATAAATACACCTACTAGATTTGACCCAACAAATAACTTAAACTATTGAATGCATCGTTTCATTTCCGTCTCTATTCTTCAGTTGTTAACTGTTGTTCGTAACTCAATCATAAGATTTTAATTGAACATTGTAATTAGTTCACGTTTACTTGGTCAAGGACATCGAAAAATCAGATATTAGTAGGACCTATGAGTATTTTGATTATCTGAATGATAGTCTGTATGAAGATAGGTGAGAGTGACATGGCATTAAATAATGTCATCATTTTCCTAATATTCGGTGATGCTTTATATTGGTGATCACCTGTGGCAGAAGCTATGTGAACTAACACTTCTAACTAATGGTTTGATTTTCATAGTTCTTTAATTGTTGGTTAGTCTTCCCTAACCTCATCTGGTTAACTAGTTCACTAGTTACCAGCCCGTCTGAAACCCGGATAAAGAGGAAAGGTTGGGCACAGGGATTGCTACCCTACCCCGTAAAACCATTACAATCGCTAAAGAAACTTTAAGGCACAAAGAAGATGTAAAAACTAAAAAAAATGATTCCTCGCTGGAAAGGAAAAGAACGAAATGATGCCTACTGGTGAAAGCTTTTGGTAAGCTAATTGGCCAATGTGTCTTCTCTTCTCTCGATGGAAGCAAAAGTAAATATGGGGACATGGAATATCTACACAATGTTTGAAGCTGGCTGGTTGGCTGGCTGGAAAGGCTGCTCAGGTTACAAAAGAGATGAGAAGGAATGGCATAGAAGTGCTAGCAATCTGCGGGGAATCTCCAAACTGTCAAGTGGAGAGGGGAGTCAATAATCTACTTCGGTATTACCACCCACATGGCAACCACGGGCACACAGAGTTTTTCAGTGGCTATCATGATATCTTCAAGAGCATTGAAGACTCTCTGCCATGCAATGGGAACCAATCTCCTCCTGCAGGATCAGGATCATGACAGCAAGATGGACTCAACTCAAAAACAAAGGAAAGTTACAATCACACAATGCCATTGCTACGTTACACATCCAAAAGTAATGCATACCAAGAGAAGAAGGGGAAATTCTACAGACAACTGCTATTGATAAGTGACAAGACCTCACCCGAGATGGCGGCATAAAAATTCTAATGGGTGGGGTGACATGAATGTCAAACAGGGAGCGGACAACAAAGTAAGAGAACTCATCATGGATCGAGAAGCACTCGGTGAAATGAATGAGAATGGAGAACTGTTTGAAAATGTCTTCACCTTTAATGGCTTGGTGATTGGAAGCAGTGCGTACAAACACAAGGATATTTACAATGAGACATGGATTCCATCAAATGAACATGCTACACTAGAAATCAGATCGACTTCCCCTCAATGTGAAGAAAGTGGAGATGCGGGCGGAAGATGAAGGAGGGGAGCAGATGTAAGTTCACACCACTCATTGTCCAATTCAAAGAGCCTTCAAAATCAAGTTGAAAGCCCTCAGACGATCTGGTGATAGATCATAGTTTAAGTTCAACATCCAGAACAGAAACTCAACTGAAGGATGAAACTGTGAACGACATCTTCGGGTCAGGTATCAGGACAAAATGTAAGGTAATGAGCTACATCCCGGAGGAAACCTGTGTGGATGAACACTGGAACTCTTTGAAAGAGATGTGATAGAAAACTGTATAACCGTATCAGGAAGGAAGATGAAACAAGACAAAGAATGGATCTCGACGAGAACATGGAAGCTGATAGAGCAGGGAGAGGACAACGGTGATGGTGAAGTGAAAGACGAACCAGTGCAAGGATGCACAACGAAGAGAAGAACTGAGCACGACATATCAAACACCACACTGGGCAAAGAGGTGAATAGGATTGCGCGCAAAAATAAAAGACACTTCTCCGACATACTGGCAGGTGAAGCAGAACAGGCTGAAGGTAGAAGAGACAGAGACCTGACAACATTATATCGAATAACCAGGTTACTATCTGCTGCAGGTTGGAAAGATCAACGCAGACGAAACCAATGAAAGATAGTGAAGGAAACATAGTTACCGCCAAAGAGGAGGAAACGAAGGGCTGACCACTTCAAAAATACTCCTGAAGCGACAGTCACCACCACCGCCTGCAACTCGCCCACAAGGAATACTACCAGCAAATCAGCCACAGAGTTGTCGGTGAACACAAATCCCTCGACAAAAGCAGAAGTGAAATCATGAACGTCATAAAGTTGCTGAATTTCTGGAAAGCGATAGAACCAGATGCAATTCCACCAGAAGAACCGAAAACAGACCCATAGACAACAGCAGGCATACTCACACCTCTAATGCAGCAGGGTTTCAAGGAAGGAAGAAAGGAAGAAAAGGTACCTACCGATTGATCGAAAGTCGAGCTGCCTTGTCATAATCCCGAAGAAGGGCGACCTAAGTCTTTGCAAGAACTGGCGTCGAGTCATGCTCCTCTCCCTGTACACCCACAACAAGCAAAATATTAAACCAAATCATCCCAGAGACACTAAACAGTGCTCTGAATTCAAAATCACCACCGAAACAGTTTGCTGACTGGATTCAGGGAGGACAAATCTTGTGAGGATCAAATTACAACACTATGCTACACATCATAGAACAGAATGTAGAATGGTAGTCAACTCTCAACTCTCTACTCTCTCTCTCTCCCTCTCAACTTCATTGATTTTGAAAATGCCTTCGACAGAGTCAACCGAGAAGTAATTTGGCAGATAGCTGCTTCAACACCACGGTTTCAGTACCACAAACCTTCACCAACCTCATTCAACAGCCATGTGACGACGTCACATGCCAAG